TCATATCTCGACGGTATTATCTTCTCTAGCTTGAAAGCGTTTAGTTCGGCCTCGATAAAAGAGTCAATTTTCCTCGTTAAGTTTTAACAAGGCGCCGTGAAAAGTAAACACGGAAGTTCGGGAAAACGAGTAATTTTAGGGTTACTTTTCATATTTGGGCCATTATGTAAAATGCGGGTCATTAATCACTTTTTTCATCATGTTAAAAACCATGTTCAGAAGTATGTTAATGTGTTGATTTTAGGCGAGCTTTTGGTGTATACTAATATGTGTTTAACTAAATTTAACGGTCATAGCGTATATTTATAGTGGGTGGATGGGATAGAAGGTCAAAACTGAAACTTAAGCAAATTAATATTAATCAAATAAAATTCGAGTTATATCCTTTACCATTTTAACAATAAATTTTATCTTGAGGGTGAATTACAGTTGTCTACGTGCAACTCTACCGTTCTTTAATCGATATGCATTTTCTTTCTTTCTTTTCTTTTAATCAGTAAATAAATAATTATCACATTTAGCCATATCCGGGCTATAATATAATGAATGTCGCAAGCCATTTCTTTCATGCTAGGTTTTTTCCCTAGTGGCTGTTTCTTAGTCATTGTCGAATCATTATTTTTTCCTGTTTATTTATGTCTTTCCTTTTAAGCTGCTATCGAAATATGATTTTTATTTCTTTCCTCTTTTCTTTTATATTTTTAGGGTTTGAGATTTTTAAATTGAGTTTCCAAATCTTTAGAATAATTTTCTGAATAATATCTCGTCTCTAGATTCCCTACATTCCTTTTTTTTATGTATTTCTTTTTGTCAGATCTTATTAAAATACCCACTTTATTCATATCCCGGAAAGGTGACAGCTTAACTACTTTGTAACGATTTAATTTGCCTACCACGTTGGGTATCACTTATAGGGGGTTAAAAGTGGGGACTGAGCAATTACTGGACTGGAGATACTGAAAGGGCTAACTACAAAGAAATAAATCAAAAAAATACATTTCCTGGGCAACACACACACACATACACACACGAAGATTCCTAAACTATTTGAAATGGACGCCGTTTAAAAGAATTATCGTGCTGGAAAGGCTTTTCTTTCCTAAAAAATATAAATGGGTGGAAATCTTTTTAAATGAAATAATTCTACAACTCCTGGTTTAGAGAGAAACATTACATATTTATTATTACTTTACATCAACAGTTATTACAAATAATATTAACAAAATTTATCAATAAAACTTATAGGTTGGGTAAGTAAGTAACTAGTTGTAATCATTTAAATAATTATTAGAAATTAAAATTATCTAAATTTTTCAACAGAGCTTACATTGAGGTTAACCGTTAAACAAAACAGAATTCAACTTTAAAATTATGATTCTGTATTAAATGTCAGAAAAAAGAAAATACTGGCTGCCATATGTCGAAATGAAATATTAAACCTTTTTGAAATATTAGTTAAAAAATTATTATCTAATTATTTAAAAGAAGACCATTATGATAATTAGCTAATCCATAAAACTTATAATTTTATTTATTTATAATTTTTTAGTTTGTCATGAAAGCAAAATTTTGTTATTTGTGAAAAAATGTTTATTTTTCATCTTCATCATCTTGGTGCTACAGCCCTTAGAGGGCCTCGACCTTTTCAACCTTTCTACGCCATTCTGTCCTGTCCCTTACTTGCATTTTCCAGTTGCCGACTCCGATCTTTTCGGCATCTTGTGTTAACCCGTCCATCCATCTCATCTCTGGTCTACCCCATCTTCTCATTCCCATGGGCTGCGCTGTTAGAATCTTTTTTATCATGTTCGATTTAAGGGCCCGGGCTACATGTCCTGCCCACTGCAGGCAGTTTCGCTTGATTATAGTGGTAAAATCTTTACCATCAAACGTATGCTTGTAGATATTCTGCAGTTCAAAGGTGTATCTACGCCTCCATATTCCGTTCTCACAGACCGCTCCGAATATCTTGAGTAGCACCTTTCTTTCAAAAATCGATAGAGCGGATTCATCTGTTTTAGTTAGCGTCCATGCCTCTGATCCATATGTGAGAACGGGGACTATCAGTGTTCTGTACAGCCTTATAAGAGTTTTTTGAGACAGACGTTTGTTAGTTAAGTACTTTGATAGACCATGATAACACCTGTTTGCAATTATTATTCTCTTATGTTTATTTTTACTTTGAATAATTTTAATAAAAAGTACCTGGTATTACTTCTTCTTCTTCCTATGCCGTCCCCATTAACGGAGGTTGGCGACCACATTTTTAAAAGCTTCTCTGTCTTTTGCAACGTGGAATAATTCGTCTACAGTCATGTTTGTCCAGTCTCGAATATTTCGCACCCATGACTTCCTCTTTCTACCTATTCCCTTTTTGCCATCGACTCTACCCTGCATGATGACCTGCAGAAGACTATATTTATTACTGGCTGGTGTATTTCCTTTAAGGAAGTTTTTGGGAATGGAATATTTCCTTTAAGGAAGTTTTTGGGAATAGAATTGAATCAAAAACACTGCAAACAACACACAACTGTGACCCAGACAAACTGGAATTGGTCTGGGGTGACCATGGAACACAAAATGGACAATTCTTGGGAAATCGGACACTGATTCGGGCTTCAGCTTATCCTGGATGGCAACAAACTGCAATCTTCAAAACTCGGCCACTCAATTCCTTCTTAAAACCATGTGAACCTCTCAAATGGTTGGAAACGCCGTCTTACAAATCTCCCACATAGGGCACAGCACAACCAATCGGTGATTAACTCAACAAAAACTGCCAAATAGTATCTTGAGCCCTAAATCTCCTCTCAACTTAAAAAAAATTGCCGGCTGTTAAAGACTACACTAGACTTTGCTAAAAAATTACAAACAACGCAAAGAGCAATGGAACAAATCATGCTTGGAATATCACTGAGAGATAAGATTAGAAACACCGAGATAAGACGTAGAACGAAGATTAGGGATACTGTAGAAGAAATTACAAAAATGAAATGGCGCTGGGCAGGTCACGTAGCCCAATATAATGACAAAAGGTGGACACGGAGAATTCTAGAATCGAGACCAAGGACGACAACAAGAAGCATGGGAAGACCTCAAAAAAGATGGGTAGATGACATAAGAGCAGTGGCAGGCAAAGAGTGGATTAGATTGGCGCAAGATAGAGAAAGATGGAAGCAATTGGGAGAGACCTACATTCAGGAGTGGATGGAAAATGGTTGACAAAGAGAGAAAACTGCACGCCGGAAGCTATCTCTTTCCAAATCTAAATCTCCTGTAACTCTCCTCTAACTGCTACTACAATTGTAGTAGCAGTTTTATGATCTCTATATCTCCTATCGTGGTCCATTTTATAGTGACAATATAATCTCCCCGCATCACTATCCCACCAACCTAAGTGGATATTTATTTGACGTGCAACATTAAGCGGAATCAAGATCAAAGAACTACCAATCTGTGGTATATAAAGAAATTAAAAATGTTTATATTATCAATCTCATCGATGCAAGAATATTTTTCGGTGTTTTAACATATAACAGGCGAAATCGAAATGCTACAACTTATGCATTAAATAATTTAATAGTTAGGCTAGTAAAACCAATCGCCCCACTTATCTTATTTTTGTCTTTGCGTTATGTAGATAGATTTCCTTGCTATACCAGCTGGTTTGATGTATCTCAATTGTTTTAACTTGTGATTTTAACCCAAATGGAAACAGGTTCAGATATACAAGGCTACGTACTAAAGTTAGATAAAGCAAAAAGGATACCCAAAAGAGGGATAACAATTTTGAATATATATTTATAGTAAAAATTATAAAATATATGTCGGAACACAGTTACAAACCGATAACAAGAAATTCATTTTTCTCCAGAAATCTGGTGTTATTTCGCCAAACAAAGGTGTAATGCCAGACATAAAACAACTTTCGAACATTGTTATTTTAAACACAGAATAACTTTTGTTCCTACATTGTTTCGTGTTTATCTAAAACCATGAATTACTATAGTTGCATTTTGCGGCCATTTCCATTTTAGAAAATCGTAATTTCCGATCATAGGAATTTATTTCCCACATATCAGAGGCTTAAACAATTATTGGTTAAAATAGATTCGACTACTTTCAAATAAAAATTGGTCATGGTTTGATAGCTATATTATGTTGATAAATTCCCAGTATTGTTCGGTAGTGTTAACTGCGTATCTCTGTAACAACCTATTTTAAGCAACAATGAACTTGTTGTTATCGAGTAGGTGTAGGAGCAGTGACGGACTGGCACAATATAGCTAATTAGGGTTTTGTTTGAATTTATATCTTGCTTTTTGTCGATACTATTGAGAGACGGTCAATACAATATTTTGAAGTTAAACAAATTAATGTGGTAAATGTGAAGAAGACCAGGATGAAACACAATTTGGCTTCAGAAATGGACTGGGAACTCGAAACGCCCTCTTTGCACCAAATGTAATACTACAGAAATGTCGAGATCAAAGGAAAGACGTCTTTGCTGTATTTATTGACTATGAAAAGGAATTTGATCGAGTACAGCATCACAAATTAATTACAATATTAAAAGATAAAGGAGTTGGCGCCGAAAGAAGAAAGTTGTAAAAAAGTGTATTGATATTATTATTATGTGAAGTAGTTTATTACGTGTATGTGTGAGTGAACTATTGGTATTCTAAATAGATTTGTAAAGAAAAAATTTTTTTTTATCGATTTTCATCAAATCTAGCCTCAAACTTTAGTTGGTAATTCTTATATTCCATTTTGTGATATGTCACTTTTCCTCATAAAAATTTTGGTAATCATTTATTAAATGCTTGTTTTTGAGAAGGTAGTAAGAAGGTAGAAGATAGTGTATTTCTTAAAAAGGTTCCATATGTGTATTTCATATTCTTGGGAATATATATTTGATAATTATGTGATCCGTCAATTGTTTTTTAATTAATCTATGCATTTTATTGTATATATTCTCATGTATGTAATTTTTATTTCAGAATTGTCAAGGAACTGCACCGGCTGGACCGAGGCAGACCTCACCTTCTGCAACACCAGCGCCTCATGATGTCGATAATATACTCAAGGTGAGTAACACAATAAACTGATTAAAGAGTAGCTTACATAATAATGAAAATAAAATGAGTGACAATAAAAATAATGCAATTTATGTCTACGCACCAACCTGTGAGAATGACGAAGAAGTAAATATAGTTTACGAAAACATCTCAAAAGCAATGAAAGAACAAGAAACTCGACTATTGCCAGTAATATGCGGTTTTAACTCTAAATTGGGAGAGAAAACTTGTATAGGAAAACAAAATATGAGGTTATAGATACGGGAAAAGAAATAATAGAGGTGATGCCCTTGTAGATTTCTTAGAAGGAAAGAACTTATATGCATGCAATGAATTGATTCTACCTATACAAAGAACCCACAACGGAAATGGACACAGATAACCTAAAATGGAAGAACAAAAAACTATTAATCATAATTGTGTAAACTGTGTTAACGTGTGAAACTTATAAAGTGTTACATTCTAATTTATGAAATACACACACAACACAGCTTAAGCAACTAGGACTAAAATAACAGCGTTCGAACAAGATTAGAACTAGGAGGGAATGTTCTATAATGAATGTGTTAAATTAAAGATCTTTCAAAATGTATATACCCATTCGTTGTTATATTTTTTAAGAGATAGGGATATCCTCCATCTCTTCGACGGCCTTCCTTATATACGAGTTCTAAATGGTTTTGTGTATAGCATAATTCTAGTCTGCTCCAATGGATAATCCTGTCTGTATGAGAATAGTATTTGTAGTCCATCAGTAGGGTACTAACCATGTTGAAGACTCCCTCCTCCATTAAACACATAAAATTAAAGGAAACATTTTAGACTCAGCTAAAGAAACTCTGGGCTAAAGATAAATAAAGCGAGTCCCTTCCAAACTAAAAAACTCCGTGGAATTGTACAGAGGAAGGAAAAATGCAAGGAAAAAAAGCTCACCTGAAGTACATGTCAAAACGAAGATTACAAGAGAGTAAGAAATGAAAAAACGCATTTATTGGTAAGAACAATTAAAAACGAGCACTGCGAACGCTTCTCAAAAAAACTGAAGCATAATTTTTATGGTTAACAAAAAAATGTTTCAAACAAATAGGTCAAACAGCGGAGGTGAAGGAATGAGTAGACTCAAAATACATGGAAAAGGATTGACTATCTAAATAAGTTATACAGAGGAACAACAAATCACGTTGGAACCACAAGCATAAAGTAAACAAATTACTTTATAAACTGAAAAACAGAAAAGCTGTAGGTAAATATAGGATGCGAAATAAATTTAAATATGGTGGCAATGACAGCAATGACGGATCTACTCACAAAATTAATTATCAAAAAGGTTAAAAGAGGAAATAAAATACCAGAAGAATAGAGAACAAGCGGTCTAAACCTTATATTCCAAAAGGACGATAAGAAATAACCAGAAAACTACAGAGGTATTAAGTTAGTTATTAAGTATACTACCCTGAAACTTACAAGTAAAAATGTGTAAGAACTAATAAATCAGCTTAGTAGATGAGCAACAAGGATTCCGTATGGGAAGGTCGTGCGCAATATTCCTCATAAAATAGATTACAGAGAAAGCATTAGAATACAATAAATCTGTTTGATCAATGAGATCGCGATGGATATTATAAATATACTTATGGAAGTCAGAATAGATGGACAACTTACGGAACCTATACCGGGTGGTGAATCGTCAATCAGGCCATAGGAAACTCAATGGGAAATTTTAAATTGTTGAATTGCTGCTTCCCTAATTATTTTAGATCAAAAGTCATAAAAAACTATTTGTAGAGGACTAAAATCTGAATTAAAAGCAAATGTTAAAACCGTTCTACGAATCAAATGTACTTCAAAATTTTGCAAAAATATAATACATTTTTCAGGCCACCCCTAGAAGTTAGGCCACACGTAATGCAAGAATATATATTAGGACGTCTGTGTTTTATCATATTAATGTCAGATGTTTGACAATTTGAATTGTCAATTTTTTTATTTTATGATTAAATTATAAACAATGAATTTTACTAAATACTACTACTCACGATATACAAACACAAGTACTAATGAACATTATTACTTTGTGAACAATAAATTATATTGTTTACAAATCGATCAATATAATGAAATGTACTCAGTTGACGAAAAATCGCATAATGTTGTATACAGGCAATAGCGCGAACCTTTTTCTGCCACTACCGGATCTTTATTTAACGTAAGATATTCTAATTCACTAAAATTTAATTCCATGTTAAGTTATACATCAATTTAATGAATTCCAATATACTGTTACTGTGATCTTTATTCCTAATAATAATATATGATAATTTCTATACATAAAACTATAACAAATGTTATAATAAAACATGTATAAAACATTTTTATTATTGCTTTTTTCTCCTCAACTGAGTACATTTTTTAATCAACTTAATTTTTTTTAACAATAAATCACAAAATTTTGGCCATTTAAATCATAGATAACTGTAATATAATTGATTTAAATATTGTCAAATATCAGAAACAATAATATGACAAAACGCAACACATAATACACATTTCTTCACAGAAAAATGTATTATATTTTAGCAAAATTTTTGAATACGTTTAAGTCGTAGAATAATTTTAACAGTTGTTTTCGATACATATTTGAGTCCTCTACAAATAGTTTCCCATGACTTTTGGTGTAAAATAATTAGGGAAGCAGGAATTCAACAATTTAGAATTTCCCATTGAGTTTCCTATGGCCCGTTTGACGATTCACCACCCTGTAGATACAGGCAATGGTATAAGACAGGGGTATTCACTAAGCCCTATACTATTTAATTTAGTCATAGATGAAATTATAAAGAGCGTTAAAAAAGGAAGAAATACTTACAGAATGAGGAACATTGAAATTTAAATTCTTTGTTATGCAGATGATGTAATATTGATAGCCCAAAATGAAGATAGCCTTTAAAGACTAGTTGAGATTTAATACAAAAGAAAATTTAATATGACAATTTCAAACAAATGAAAAAGTCGTAGGTAGATCCGGGGATATTATTAATATAAATGAAAATGGGGAACAGTTAATCGAATTCTGCGAACTACTCTCTGAAAATCCTAAACGGATTCTACCAACATAAAAATATAGGTAAGTATACAACGGTCCAAACAACGAGAAACATTAAGTCAAGTATAGATTATGTTATCACAAAACAAGAGACACACTTACAAGTAGAAGACGTAAAAGTGTTTAGAAGTCCAGAGTGCGGAACTGACCAGTATATTATAAGATCAAAATGTTACCTACAGTGTTGATCGCGTATATAACAACCAGCAAAATCAAAACCACCGAAAACGAATCCACTCAAATAAACTATTGATGCAGTGCAAAACGACTCAACATTATTTTTATATAAGTTACGCTTTAGCTGAAAAATTAACAAACCTGATCTACTCTTCAGCCCAGAAGATCTACCAATCAATGAAGCACTCAGCACGATATAAAGGAACAAAAAGAATGCTCCATTCGGTGAACAAATGACATCGCTAATGCAGTACACAACGCGAAACAAGCATATCAAAAGTGGCTGCAAACAAATGGCCCAGATGATAGAGGAACATACGCAAGATCAAACCGAGAAGTAAAAAATGAAGTAACTAAAGCAAAAGATGTTTTCTGTGAAAGTAAATGCGAAGAGCTCAACAAATATATAGGGTCAACAAGATCAAGAAAAGCATGGGAAACGTTAAAAGTCCTAAGAACAAACAGAAAAGAAGTGAGTAGAATAGATTTAATAGAGGAAAGATCTTGGATTGAACATTACTCACAACTTCTGACTGAAACATACGAAAATTTTTGTTTCTTCAAAATGTTCACGATTTTTTGAAACTAATTTTCTACCAAGACGTTAGTAATAATAGTTATCGTTTTGGTTCTTCCCATTGACACTTTTTTCAAAATTTGTGAATCTGGAAAAAAGGATTGTAGAAGTGGAACTAGATGCTTACATAACCTTATTCTTAATTAATGCTGCCAATTTACTTTTCACAATTCTTCTTGATCTTTGTTTTGCTTATACATTTCAGACAGCTTTTTTGGTATTTTTTTAAAACAGAGACCCTTTTTTATGTTTTTCGTCTTTCGAGTGATTTTTTATTACAGTAAGATCTGCACTAAATTTTGCATCACAACTAGAGCATTTTGAACATTTACTAGGTTTATGTGTAATTGACAATATTTCAAATGCTGTAGAGTCAAAATTTTTTAAAATAATTATAAATTTACCTTTATCAGCTTCTAGCCATCCTTTAAAATCCGCTTTATTTTCCCATTCCATTCTAAATTTTTGTGGATTGTGTTGTCTTCGACCCGTACTGTATTTAGATTTTTTCTTTTCTTTTTCAGAATCAGAGTCAGAATTAGAATATCTTCTTCTTAATTTATCTAAAATATCAAATGTAATAGGTTAACTAAACTGCACAACTAAAATCCAGTAACAGAATTGCAATCCCAATGGGATTTGGGATATATACTTATGATTTGGGGAATCCTTGCGCGGTGTTGGGATTCTCCAAATTATGCTTACTATATTTTCCCGAGCTACATATAAGAACCAGAGTTATTTTAGTCAATTTTACATACACGTAATTATTATTGTCAACTTTTATTTTGATTTTAAACCTTATAATAGGCCAATCTATTATATCCTAATTATCGACATAATTCCCACAGGCATACGTATAAAATTAAGTATAAAATTATGTTAAAATCTGATAATTATGTACAAATCTGAACTGTCGCCAATGAGCGACATATGCAGCGAACGTGTTAACAAGTGTATAGATCGACCACGAAAGAAATGGAGTGATAATCTTCCATAGAGGCAGCAACCTGCCATAATCAAACAAAATTTCTGGTATAAAGGAGGAAGAAGATCATTCTTGTCTGACCATTCTTTTCATGTGATTATACTAAGTGACATTCTGGATCTTCTTTATCTATTGTATTTTATATGTTCATTTATGGTATACGT